GGTTTTCAGTGCTACGAACCTCCATTGGTGTATTATTGGTGCAATGCTGCTCTCTGGACACGGTGTGACTATCTGGCTTTCAATGTGATGGTGTGTACTGGAATTGTCATCTCGCTGTTGCTTATTTTCCTTGCATAAGCAAGTTCACTTATTCGACCCCCCCGTGGCTGGAGCACTTCGTGGAGTATGTCATTTGATATTGATACCCCACGAGCTGAACCAGGTGTGATGAGAGGAGGTCCTTGCCCGAAATTATAGCTCTTCCAGAGTATATTTCCACTGCAGAAAAGTTATGGTTCCAGCTTTCAGCTCGTGGAGGCAGAGCGTTTTCTGTTTGTTGGTTTCTACATAAGGTGAGTTGTCAGTCCGGAAGTATCTTGCCTGGCAGTCTGTCCAGATACATGTAGTGGAGCAAGGTCCATTCCAAATAGATAGAGAGAAGAATATAGCTTAGGTCCATTCTTGGGATTGCACCTCGGGCGGCTATGAAATCACGATTCCAAAATCCGAACCCATAACTTTTTCCACGGATGGCAGGGACGTCGCAGAAGGATATAATCTCAGCAGAGTCTCATCAGAAGCATAGTGTGCCCCTCGTGGCTGAGGGTGAAAAAGCATCAGATGTTGCCGATGGTAACTGGTCCATTGGACCACAAGATGACAAATTGGAGAAGGGGCCTACCCGAGCCACATCTTAGGAAAAATGCGTGGCTGTTCTCCGCTGCTGAGCTGCACAGATCAGCGGCGGATATCCTCTGCTCGTTTTTCTCAAGAAATGGGGTCCTGGCCGATCTTTGCCGCTGATCTGCGACGATCGGCGGCCAAGATTGGCCACTTTCTGGACTTGAAAAATTCGGGCCTACAGGACCCGGTTTCGAAATTGCGGGGCAGGGCCCGCCCCCACGACGCCTCGGGAATACATGCGCCGGCAAAAAAAAAAATTCAGCCCCCAGCGAAAATCCGTTGGGGGCAACCGGGAGGGAACCGGCCCGGGCCACCGGCTGGTCCAACCGGGAGGACCGCGGATGGGGTAGGGGTCCCCGGTCCATCCGGGGACCAGCCCTGCCGTACAGGCCCTAGACTCAGATTGGTTGGAGCGGTACCCGCATAGACCTAGCCTACAGCTACTGGGGCTCTAAAAATGCGAACTTTTGTCTACTTCTGCTCGGCCTGGAGTACCTGGCACATCTACATCTACCCGGTGTTGTATTGGCCTACCTGAGTGTTTTTCCGCTGCTTCAAGGGTCACGGGCCTCTTTCCCGCCACTTCCCGCTGCAACCCTCAATACCGGCCCTTCGGGCCCTCTGAACGAACAAGTGCCCTTGCGGGTCACACACACACTCAAGCCAACAAGCACTCAGACAGGCATGCCGGCCAGCAATCATGCACATACACAGACTTAGAAAACTCAGCAACAAGCGGGAAACTCGGCAAGGCATTCATTCCATGAGCAAAACTTAGAAATCAGCTGTGTGTCTCAGTCCATGTTTGGCAGGGTCATGACTGGGCGTTCTATTCGGGGTTCGGTCTGTAGTTCTGTCGACTAGGGGTCATAGTTGTGTAGAGGCTGTAGCTGTAGCAATTATGAAAGGTCAAGGTTGTAGCTGCTACAATCCTGAAAGGTCAAGGTCGTAGCTGGTACAGTCCCGAGAGGCCAAGTCCACAGACTTCCGGAAGGTCCGGAAGTAACCTTTCAAGCTTTTCTCACGTTATTCACAGCAGACCAGAGGCAAGTGGGCAAGTGGTGAGTCCAACTTCGCTTAGTCAGCGGTACCCAGTCCTAGTCTCACTTTGTACAGTCAGCAAGTACCATGAGGGACTGTGTGCACCATGGGCCCGGTGAAAAAGGGCAGACCAGCGACTTACAAAAGTATAAATCAAGAGGCAGCGTCCAGCCTTTCATTTATTCATGCGTGAGCCATGCGGAAGCGTTGCCATAGCGTCTTGTGCGAGGTGGTCTGCAGATGCCTGAGGTCGAAGTGGGGTGAAGGGAGATGAGTGTCCATACCCAGTAGAGGTTAGGCGGCCATAGGCGCTGTAGCTAGAGGTAGTCTTCAGTGTGTGTGTGTACGAGTATACAATAAGAGTGTGTGCGCGTGGGATATCCAGGGAGATCCAGTGAAGTGTGCGTGTGAACGAGTTGTGAGGATACAGTGTCGTGAGGTTGATGTGAGGGCGCACAGACGCCAGAGCTACTTGAACCGAGTTTGTATCTGAACTGTGTTCTCGCCTGTTTTACCTCTGAGCTCTGTTTACATGCATGTGAAGTGAGAAGAAGGCGAGTTTGATTGCATTGGTATTAGAGCTGGTTCCCGCAATTCCACGCGCCATAGCAAAAGTGCGCCGAAGAAGAAGAGTCCATTGTAGCTGCGTTGCGGAAGGAAGTGTCGCGTACCCGCAGAGAAGACAACGTCGAGAGAGAGAGAGAGAGAGAGAGAGAGAGAGAGAGAGAGAGAGAGAGAGAGAGAGAGAGAGGAGCGATACAAGATTGTTGTGCGGTCCAAGAAAGAAGGTGGCGGCCATAGCCGTTGAGCTCGGAAACAGAGTGAACGAAGAAGAGAAAGGAAGGAGAGACAAAGAAGGGGGTGAAAAAGAAAGAGACGAAGAGGACAGAAGAAGCCATAGCCGAAGAAGGAAAAGGAGGGAGAGACGAAGGAGAGAGAAGCCATAGCCGGGGTGAAGGAAGAAGAAAGGAAGGAGAGAGAAAAAGGGAAGTGAAGGTTGGTGAGAAAGAAAGGGGTTTGCAGCCATAGCCGAGTTGAGGGTTGACCAAGGCGTTGACCGAGGGGTTGTTAACGTTGACCAAGACTTTGATCGAGGAGTTGAACAGGGAGTTGACTAACGTTGACCGAGGAGTTGACCAAGATGTTGATCGACAAGTTGACCAAGTGTTAACCAACGTTGACCTTGATGTTGACCACAAAATTGACCAAGCTGGAGTTGGTATACTTTCGCCAAGCCTTCAACCTATGCCCTCGCCCTATGGATGTGCACTCACCCCATGGTACTTGCTGAGTCTGTCTGTCTCTTCTTTCTGCATTGAGTCTTTTCTGTCGAGGTGATAGGAACTCCGTGAATGTGGTCATAGAGCTGTGTTGACCAAGCCCACATGGGCTCAGTAGGGCTAAAGGCCGTGTTTGCTGATTGACTGACCCGGAGGACAAACCCTCCCAAGGACTGGTACAGACTGGCTGGCTGCTCATTGTGGCATGGTAGGCCCAAAATCCGAGTTGTGGGCTGCACAACCAGCTGTCTAAGTCTTGAGAGGACTTGCTGATTGCGTCGTCCTGTTTGCGACGTTAAAGAATTCCTGAGGAGTTATGGGGGATCTCCTTAAATGCCTCTTGATCAGCGCTGAAGTCCTGTAGTGACAGCTTAGTAATAGGTCTAGGCTAGAGACCCTAGTTGACTGGGTTCTGAACCTTAGTGAAAGCCAGGTGGGATTGATCGCAGGTGCAGGGCATCTAGGTCTGGATTGTAAAGGACAGTGGTGGCAAAAGCTTCTGTTGGCCGTGGTAACCTGGCTGGATCAAAGGATAAGGCTATGCGGTCCTTAAAGAGTCAGACAATAAGTTAAGTTAGTCAGGGGGTGGAGGTCTAAGTGGTGAGGAGTGGAACTGTCACTCAGTTGTGCATCTGTCACCATGGTTGACCTGCGTAGTGGTAAGAGCACCACCCGGTACACTAAGGCTCGGGAAGAGCAAGTCGCCACCGTCCTAAAAGAGAGAAAAGATAAAGAGGCTAAGAGAGAGTTGATTAGGCAGGACAAGAAGTTGACCTTGATGGAGGAGCAGGCGACGAAGAAGAAGAAACTGGAAGAGGAGATGGAGAAATTGAAAAAAGAAGAGGAGGAGAAGTGGGAGGCAGTAGAAGAATAGGAAGTGGAAGAGGAGGAGGAAGTCCTTTGGACAGAAGGACCATAATAGAAAGGGGAGGATGATCAATGGATGGAGAAGAAGATTATAGAGTGGGTTGCAAATTTGTCGCTGGGAGAGGAGGAGGAAGCGATGCTATATGTCCCAAGGGAAGAACAAGAGGCAGTGGTGAAACAGTTAGAGGAAGAAAAAGACCCCTTACGCCGCCAGGTCATAGAGGAGGAGAAAAAAGTTGGAGTGGAAGCTGCATCTCGCAAGAGAAAAGAGGCAACGATTGGATGCAGTAGATAGGGTGGCGAAGGAATTGCAGGTGGTGGAGGAGCAAAGACAACAAATGGAAGGCCAGGCGGATGTGTTGGGGAAGTTGGAGATTATGGGCAGGAATATAAAATTATTGGCAGAGGCTCAGCAAGAGCAATATCAGTTGGTTAGGGGCCAATATATTGCATTGCAATCCATACGCTTGGGGTTCAGAGAGTTTGCGTGCGAGATGATGCTTCATGTGGGCACATAAATGAAGGCTAGAATAAAAAATATTGAACGATTCTGCACAGGCGCTATAGAAGGCGCAAAGCTTGCTGCTCCAAAGGAGGAGGAAACTCGCCCCCGCAGAGAGCCAGTTAAAGTAAAGTTTCCTAATTCCTACAGTGGGAAGAAGGAAGATAATTTTGACAACTGGGAGGCGAACGTTAATTCATACGTTCATCTGCAGAAGATCTTCCCTGAGGAACAAGTCCTCATCGCCGTTCATGTCCTTAGAGACGAAGCGGCTAGCTTTGCCAGATCGCTCGCCCACGCCGCGCAATGTGAGAACAATATGGTAGCTTACTCCAAAGTCACCCCCTTCTTGAATTTATCAGGCTGCTTCGTGAACAGTTTGCCGATGTCACGCGAAGTGTAAGGGCCTGTGACAAACTGCAGACAATCCACTCTCAACAATGGAGGAGTGCAAGGGCACTCAAAGGCGTTATGGACAAGTTGGTCGCCGTCCCAGACCATGGGGTCACTGAGACCCAATTGGTCAACTTGTTTTATCGTGCCATGCCCGAACCTTTGCGCGAACACTTTTTCGAAAAGAGTAAATAGCCTACCATGACCTATGATACCCTGAGTAGGGAAGCGGTAACTTTCGAGGCGCAGTCCATGCCAGGTTCCACTTTCTGCCATAAGGACCTTGACAAGGGCAAAAAGTGGAAGGGCCGTACCATCTCTGGCCAAGTCAGGGCCAAGGATCATTTGACTCTTACTTTGGACGAAGGTGGTATGGAAGAGGTCCCCTACAATCAGATTGAGTGGGGCTTCGAGGAGGAGGACAGTAGTGTGAGTCAAGGGAGGACTTATGCTGCTGTCGCGGCTGGAGGGAGGCCGCAAGGAAGAGGAGGAGGCCGGGGCCAAGGGGGCTGGGCCTCTGATGGTCGAGGACAGGACGTTCAAGGGGTTGGTGGCAAAGGAAACCGCCAAGAGGGAGATAGTGGTCAAGGTCCCCCGCAAAACCGTCCGCGTTCCAATCGATCACCTCCCAGGAGGGGTGGATGGCACCGTGCTCTACCACAAGGCAGACCCTCGGAAGATATGGGCTTGGATCAGACAGTGTGGCAGAGACTAGTAGACCAGGATCAGTGCGTCTATTGTGGTGATCCGGGGCATACCATAAAATACTGCCCCAAATATAGAGAAGCCTGGTATGCTGCACAGGCAGCGAAAGGCAATCACCGATAGGAGTTGCAACTGCTCTTACCCCTAGACCATGTGGAGAAGAGTGTTGTGCACCACTGAGAAACTCCCAACCCACATGAGTCTATGGCAGAGGTTGCTAGCCAGTGCCTAGATAGTTGTCCAAAGAATGCTTGCGTTGGCTGTCTAGGCACTTCCCTCGTAGGCGTGGCACAAGAATTGAATGAGAGAATGCCTGCCTGGGCCAAGATGAAGAAAAATGCGAAAGGATAACTAATTCTAGTAGATGTGGCACAAGAATTGAAGGAGAGAATGCCTACCTGGGCCAAGATGAAGAAGAATGCGAAAGGACAGCTAGTTCTAGTAGATGTAGTGGTTTTCAAAGGACGAGTAGGGGCCTTGATAGACAGTGGGGCCACTCGTAGTTATATCATTAGAAAAGCGCTGCAGAAGTTAAAGTTGAATCTAAAGGTCCAAAAGTTAGAAGACGCTATAGTCAGCATCCTCGCAGACAATCGCACTATGACAGTCGAGGAATAGGTAGAGGGAGTCCAGACGTACTTTCGCCTAGAGAAGGATGGAAAGGTAGATAGAGTTCTCCATTCCCTGACTCTCCTCATAGAAGATAGCCTCCCATTTGATATGGTCCTAGGAATGGACTGGGGAGAGGCAGCAGGGGCCACACTCCACTTGAGAGAGCACGAGTGTAGACTCCCTAGCCCATCAGGCGAAGTTAAGTCTGCCCGCTTGTTTCATTTGTCTGGGGTAGACAACACCTTAGCACATTGTTGCCTCAGTGCTCCCACATTCGCGCGACTAGTGAGAAAGGAGCAACTAGAAGAACAGGTTTTTGTAGCCTATGTTAGGCCTGTTACTGAGCCTAAGGAAGAGAAACCTATTGACCCAATTGTTGCCAAGCTGCTAGAAGAATATACAGATTTGGCTAAGTCGCCGACAGGAGTAGTGCAACCGTCGATCCAGCATTACATTGAGATAGAGCCTCGCAGTAGAACTCCCAAAGGAGCAATGTATCGAATGTCCCTAAGGGAGTTGAGGAGTTGTGTAAGCAGTTAGACGAGCTCCTCGAAAAGGGTTGGATTAGGTCCAGTTCGTCTCCTTTTGGAGCGCCTGTTCTATTTGTCCCCAAGAACGAGGGAGAGTTAAGAATGTGTATTGACTATAGGGGTCTTAATGCCATCACAGTAAAGAATGCAGAACCACTGCCCCGTATAGATGATTTGTTAGATCGGGTGCAGGGCTGCAAATATTCTGTAAGATAGACTTGAAGTCAGGCTATCATCAGATAAAGGTCCATCCTGATGATCAACACAAGACTGCGTTCAAGACCAGATATGGGCACTGCGAGTTTATAGTGATGCACTTTGAACTAACCAATGTGCCAACTACATTCCAGCGCTGCATGAATGATCTGTTAAGGCCGTGGTTAGATAGATTCGTGGTCGTGTACTTAGATGAAATCCTAGTCTTTAGTAAGACCCTCCAGGAGCATGATGGTCATTTGAGGCAAGTCTTGGAGAAGTTGAGAGAAGCTAACTTCAAGATCAACGCGAAGAAGTGCGAGTGGGCCAAGACGCAAGTCCTGTACTTGGACCATGTGCTAGATGGTGATGGCATAAAACCTGAGGACATTGGACAATAAAATAGCAGCGATTAGAGACTGGCCGACTCCCCGCACATTGACAGAGTTGCGGTCGTTCTTAGGATTGGCCAATTACTACAGTAAGTTTGTCAGAAATTTTTCTACCATTGTTGCTCCCCTTCGCAGGTTGCTAAAGAAAAAAGCGATCTGGAAATGAGATAAAGATTGTATGTCGGCCCTGAAGAAGTTGAAGCAGGCCTTGGTAGAGTATCCAATCCTCAAGGTAGCCGACACATCATTACCTTTTGTTTGGCACCACTGACGCAAGTCAGTACGGTATAGGTGTTGTTGTACAACTTGATGATGGCAATGGGTATAGACCCGTAGAGTTCATGTCTGCCAGGATGCCTTCAGAGAAGGTAGTGACATCTACATATGAGAGGGAACTCTACGCTCTCAGACAAGCACTAGACCATTGGAAGCACTACTTGCTTGGGAGGCACTTCAAAGTGTATTCAAACCACGAGACGTTGAGGTGGCTGAAGACGCAGGCCAAGATGACACCTAAGCTAACTAGGTGGGCCGCAGAAATAGACCAATTTGATTTCGAGCTCAAGCCAGTCAAAAGGAAGTATAATGTAGTTGCGGATGCTGTAAGTTGGAGAGCTGATTACTTTGGAGCGATAGTTCAGTATTTGGATATAGGGCAAGACCTGCAACAAAAAGTTAAGGAAGCCTATGCAAAGGACCCTATTTATAGTGATCTCCTCAAGAGAGTTAAGGAGTCTCCAAAGTCTGAGCCAGGGAAGTGAGACATCACGTTTCTTTTCTAGTCAGCGATGATCTCCCAATGAACATCCTGTTGGGTATGTACCATCTTTCGGATGCAAAGCCCCAGTTTGACTGGGACCGAAAAGTGGTCAAGCACACTTTGCCAGGTGGGGGGCCCGCCAGATTACGTAAGTTTAAGGCTAGTAGTCTGATTGAGTCCTACGGATGCATGTGTGCGGCCGCGTCCTATAATTATTATAAGCAAAATTCGGAGGTGGGTATGTATCTCATTTATGTCTCTGCAGCAGGCGAGCCGGTGAAAATGCCGCCGGAGATAGAGGGCGTTGTCACTAAGTACCCTGATCTATTTGAAGAGCCAAAAGGGGTTGTTGAGAGATAGGTCGTCCACGCGATAGAAATTATCTCAGGGGCTAGCATCCCGAAGGGTAGGATCTATCGGATGTCTCCAGGCGAGCTTGATGAGCTCCGCCGACAACTCAAGGAACTCGTAGAGAAGGGTTGGATCCGGTCGAGTGTCTCCCCTTATGGATCTCCAGTCCTATTTGGACCAAAGAAGGGGGGAACTCTGAGGATGTGCATTGACGATAGGGGCCTCAATGCCATTACTGTCAAGAACCAAGAGCCCCTACCACGCATCGATGACTTGCTGGACTGTGTGCAAGGGTGCCGATACTTCAGTAAGATAAATCTGAAGTCCGGGTACGATCAAATTGCAATACGGCCCGAGGATCAACACAAAACCGCGTTTCAGCCCAGGTACGGTCTGTACGAGTTTGTGGTGATGCCTTTMGGCCTTTGCAATGCTTCTGGCACCTTTTTTTTTTTTTTTTTAATAAAGGTTGTGCAGGTTGCAGACGACCTTAGGGGGGTCCTTGTCGCACGACCATTGAGGGCAGTCCCGCACGACAGGCTGGCGCGCCGAGCCTTCCTACGCTCTCAAAGCGGGTACTACACTCGCCAAGCGAGACCCACTCTGACGGCCCTGCCCACCTTTCAACACGCAATGAATCGGATCTTTCATGACTACTTGGATAAGTTTGTCATCGTGTACCTTGATCACATACTTATCTTTAGTAGGACTGTCGAGGAGCATGTTGGTCACTTAGACAAAGTCCTTAGTCTCATTCGGCAACACAATTTTAAGATCAACGACGAGAAGTGCGAGTTTGGCCGCATCCGTATCTTGTACTGGGGTCATGAGATTTCCGCAGAGGGATTGAAGACCGATGACACGAAGGTGGCCAATATTCGTGACTGGCCGCTTCGTGAGTCTATGACTGAGATGAGGTCCTTAGGGATTATTGGCTACTATCACAACTTTGTTAAGAACTACAGTATAGTGGCCGCCCCTTTGACGGACCTGACCCGCCTTGACACCCCATGGGAGTGGAAAGACAGGTGTGAGGCTGCTTTCAGACACCTGAAGCATGCTCTGACACACTATGAGGTCTTGAAACTTCCTGATCCTGAAAAGTCGTTTATAGTCACCACGGATGCTAGCCAATATGGCATAGACGCCGTGCTCGCACAGCAGGAGGGGCCAAAGTTGAGGCCTGTCGAGAACATGTCCAAAAAGATGCCCTCTCAGAAGTTGGCTAAGTCCACCTATGAGAAGGAGCTCTATGCAATCTATAAAGTGCTAACCCATTGGAGGCATTACCTCCTTGGGCGTTTTTTCTACGTCAGGACTGATCATCAGACCCTGAAGTGGATGAGAACCCAGCCTGTGCTCTCTGATGCGCTGAAACGGTGGATCGAAGTCATTCAGCAATATGACTTTGAGCCCCAATATCTCAAAGGTGAGTAGCGCTGTTGCGTAGGCCAAATTTCTCCGGTGCGCTGATCACTGAGTTTAGGCTTGCGGACGATGTTACTCGTTCTTTGGTGGAAGCCTATTGGGAGGATCTGTTTATGGCCAAGATCATACGCAGACTCGAGGCGAAGGACAAAGCGACTTCAGCCGAGTTTGAGTTGGTCAACGGCCTGCTGTTTCTTGAGAAGGTCAGGAATAAACGTCTGTGTGTGCCCAATAGGGAGTCTTTGTGTAGTTTATTTCTAGGTGAGTGTCATGATGCCACATGACATTTTGGTTATAAAAATACTGCAGCGAACTTGCTGCAGCAGTTCTGGTGGCCCACAATGATGAGAGACGCCAAGCTGTACGTGGAGACCTGTCAGGTATGTCAGAGAGACAAGCCACGTACACATGCCCCTCTTGGGCTTCTCAAGCCCCTTCCGATACCGGCAAGGCTCGGTGAGAGCCTGTCTATGGACTTACATGGACACACTGGTCACCAGCAAGAGTGGAATGCGCTATGTCTATGTCATTGTGGATAGGTTTAGTAAGTATGCTAGGTTAGTCGCTGATAGGTTTAGTAAGTATGCTAGGTTAGTCGCTATGCCTGCAACAGCCAAAACGGAGTATGTGATTAGACTGTTCAAGGAGAACTGGCTCAGGGACTTTGGGCTTCCTAAGTCTATTGTTAGTGACTGGGATGTCAGATTCACAAGTGAGTTGTGGAAGGGTGCAGCTGCAGTACACAGCTGCAGATGACCTCCGGAAACCACCCAGAGGCAAACGGTTAAGCAGAGCAACTGAACTGCGCTGTACAACACCTGTTGCGGCATTACATCAAGCCCAATCAGCTGGACTGGGATGAGAAACTTGCTCTCATTGCCAGCTTGTACAACAACGCTGTACACAGCGCCACTGGGGTAAGCCCTAAGAGTCTGCTACTGACTTTCAAGCCTAGACTACCCTTGGACTTCCTATTCCTTGAGCACCAGACGACTGCTGCACCTGGTACACTAGAGTTTGCCTGTCGATATGAACAACTGATGCAGCAGGCGGTAGAACAAATGCACAGGGCACAGGCAGCAATGATAGATTCTGAGAATAAGCACCGCCGCCCATCTACATTCCACGTAGGGGACAGAGTCTGGGTAAAGTCCTCAGAACTGGGTCAGGAGCACGGGATCTCCCGCAAGCCCATGCCACAGTACTTTGGACCCTGGGAGGTTTTAGATATCATTGGGGATGATCCGGATGGGCCTTCATATGCAGTTCAGATCCCTGGTCACCTTTACACTTACCCAGTCTTCCACGCCTCCAAGCTCGCACCTTTAAGAGAAACTGACCAGTTTCCTTCTCGTCGCTCAATGCTGCCCCAAACCATGGATGGAGAGGTCGACATCGACGACATCATGGATCACAGGGAAATGCCGGCTTTAAGACCGACAGGCAGGGGACGTCCTCCGAAGCCGAAGCTGCAGTACAGAGTTCGGTTCAGACATCACACTGATCCAAAAGAGGATAGATGGTTCACATGGGAGGAGCTGATGCAGACCGCACCGCAGGTTGTCGCCCACTATGAGAAGTTGCTGCAGAAAGGAAAGCGCCAGATTGATTGAACTTCTCAGAGGACCAGCGAAGTATGGAGGAGGGAATGCGAGGCTCAGGGCCTCGATCTGCCCTACTGGGCCCTATTTTCTGTATGGTCGGCCACCCTAAGTGAAGGCAGGCTCGACCCAGGGCCTACAGCCTGTTTTGGAGTCACCACGCAACTGGGTAAAAAATTCAGGCAGTTGGGCAGCGCCAGTTGGTTGAAAGAGCCCAGGCCCGGGCTGCCTCTTTTTGGATGTAACCGAGGCAGACCCTGGGCCAGATTCGTAATACGGACCGAACATAGGCCGCAGGCAGTTGTACACGGGCAACCACCACAGGCCCAGGGCCTGATTCGTTTGGTCTGGGGCTCAGCCTCTCTGGGCCTACCGGAAGCTTCTGGGCAGGGGCCCAGCGCAGCCAAGCTGCATGCAAGGCAGGCAGGCCACTTCCATTTAGGAAAGGGCCTGCCCACACATTTGACATTCGGGCACTGGCTGCATGCTGCGCAAGCGCTGCTGCGCTAACGCTGGCCAGCGCTCGCGCGCTCACGCGCTCACGGGTGAGCTGGAAGGAGCAGGCAGCCATAGCCGAGCTGCGCTGCTGTATGCTGGATGGGGCGCATGGGGGTTCTTGGGTGCATGTGGCATCTGTGAGTTGGGGATCGAGGTTGTGAGTGATACGAGAGACATACCTGGTGCTTGAGGCGAACGGCATTGGCCGAGATCTGCTCGTACTTCGGGGAGTTGTTGACGGCATTGTAGATTCTGCCATCTGTAGTCTGGGTGCCGAGCGCCAGATAGGACAACGACATTGGTTCTTCGTTGATGATGATGAGACTATTCCAGCATTGTCAATTATGAGCTTTTGCTGTGCTCTTATTTGGTGGGACTCGTGATGCCTTTCTGCTATTGGTTTGAGGTCACAACTATCTGGTCTCATGTGTATGATGCTGTTTGATTTCTGAAGTTCGCTATCGCTCATTTTCCTTGCAAAAGAATAGATATTGCACTAAAGATATTCCACACCAAGGTCAGTGAAATGATGATCCTGGCAGACTCTGGAGAAGAAAGGGGCGCAAGGTTGGTAGCGGACCTCTCACTCGCCGACAGGTCGTTTGTAGAACCTTGGGCGAGAAATCACTGACGGATGGCAGCTGTAACACACAAATTGACACAATGGTATTCTGCGAATCGCAGATGGTTGATTGTGTGTAGGTGATCGATTGCTCGTCAAATGAAAAATTGGGTTTGGGGAACTTTGGTCAAGATGAACTCAGTCTCTCCGAGTTGGACCACCAGTACTGGAGAACCTGTTAGGAGGCCGAGCGAGCGCCGTATTAGGTAAAATGAATCGGCGGCGGGCGGCCTCCGAAAGGGCCCCGCGGCGGATAGCTGGCGTGTACTGGTGGTGCTTAAAATGCGTTCGCGTCAAATCTCTCAAGCATCTCTAATTTGTTAAATCTATAGTTTGAAGTGCTCATCATTTGTCAAAACGTTTGTTTTCTGCTGCAGTTGGTTCACATCTGAGCTACGTCGAAATTTGAGGTGCCAAATATGTTTTTTTGCTAGGCTACCAGAGTGGCCCGGTGTCAATTGCCCGGCCGGGCCAAAATGTATGTATTTATTTTTTTTTCTATTTTTTTTTTTTTTTTTTTTTTTTTTT